TTGTTGCTTTAGAAGGTCTGTGTGAACTCGCATCTAAAGCCAACATCTTTGCTGTTTTTGTTGCCAAGGATCATCTTCAAGTCGGGCGAGCTCACCTCGGGGGTGTTTAAGTTACAGGAGCGAGACGAGAGCGCAGCTCAGTTTGCCCTGTACCCTTTGGGAGCCCTCAAAGCGCTGCTGCAGTTCAGCCGAGCCAAGGATCAAGATCATGCATGGCGTCATGAATTTGACACATATGACAGCGCAAGAGGCCAACAGCAGCTTGAGCTGCACCAAGATGAGAAGACACTTTTGCCCTTGAAAGGCTCTAGTGCCCCTGCGGTCTGCCCACATGCTGGTGCCTGAGGAATTTTTGGTCCACCACAGTCCTGTTGCGGTCTCGTGGCACAATCAAGGTTGGATGCTGATGCCGTGATTAACCACGACACCCTGCGGGACTCCAATGTCTCTGCCGACTCTGCGAAAAACTTGCATAGTGCACACAGTGGCTTCAAGAGTCTTCCAGTTTCTCCCGATCGAAATGCATGTTCGTTGCTGAAGACTGAACGGCGAGGAGATTGACAGTTTCGGCCATTCCCGCATTCCGGTCTACAGAAAGCTGCCTGCTGCAATTCAGGGTGCCAAGTTGCACGCATGGACTTTGCGCCAGCCATTTCTATGTTGCTAAGGCACAAGCACAATGTCCGCGGGTTCATCCTGGTCAAGAAGCTCATTGTGCTTTGCTTACTGTCGGTCAGCATGTGTGATGTGCTTGTGACAGTTTTGGATAGGAGGGGGGTTCCTCCTGCTGGCACTGAGATGCTGACTCCAGAGCAGCTCAATGGAAGCCTGTGGCTGGGAGAACGTCTGCAGTAGGAAAGCCTTTGAACGTGTATTTGCGGTAAGGGGGAGGTCTTGTCTTTTTTGATTTTGCACATCCCAGCTGAGGACTTTTGGTGACCTGCATTTGTTTCGAATGACCCTTGTGCACCCCGGTATGCTGATGCATCTTGTCCTAACATGAACTCTTGAGATGTTTTGGTATGGCTTGACCGTTTCTACTGATGCCCAGTGAGGTTGGATTTGCTGAACAAGTTCCAAGATGAAAAGTGTCATTTGGGACTAGTCACCAGCAACCCGGAGGCTCAATTCCTATGCTTGGCCGCTGATGTGAATTGATAAATCTTGGACAAACACATTACTTTAATAGAACTGAGAGGCGGTGGAAGAAGCCTGGGCTCAGCATCAGGAGGTTCCACCGGATGCTTGGAGAAAAGGAAGAACTTTACTTGCCGTCTTGATTCAGTACGTGTAATATACAGTATATATATATACACATCATATATCACATATATATATATATCTATTTATAACTACTCAAAGTTAATGCTGAGGATGTGCACATGATGGGCCTCATCACTCTGGAGGATGTAATTGAGAAGCTCATCCAGGAGTCCAAACAAACAAGATAAAAGTCAAAAAGCTTCAGATAATCTTTCCCATCAACATTGGGAGCTTTCCAATGTGGGGAAGAATTCCCCATGTGGGGCTTTGTTACTAAGTGAGGAAAATATCGAAGATGAGAGTGACATTCTAGAGAAGTCAGGGAGAAGCGCCTTGTGTGCATTTATGATGTCGAGCACATGCATGTTCCTGTGAAACATAGCAGCATAGCATGCCGTGAACTCTCCCCCAATAAAGGTACGAAGTCACTGCCGCTTGGTAGTGGCGTTTCTCCTCGCAAGCTTGGCATGGATGCCAAAGGCCATTTGATGGAGACCGTCTCCCGCGGGTTGTTCAGAGTGCAAAACACCATTTTCTCATGCGAAGGCTCCCCCAGATTACTCCCAGCACCAGCGCCTACTTCAAACACTCTGAAGGCTCGAAATGCAGCGACACAGAAGGAATGAAGAGCGATTTGAAGGATTGAACGCGCATTGAGGCGCCTCTTCTTGCCAAAAGGGCGAGTGAACCTCCTTTGAACCGACAGGACGGGTGCCTGTAGAAAGTCTGCGCAAGGCTAGCCCCAATTTTCTGTTGTAAAAGCTCGTTGAAGTTGGATTCAATTGTTTAGGACCCCAGTCTTACAGGGAAGACATTTGTGCTCAGGAACCAGTTGAGCGACAAGTGGAAATCCCGGATGTGGGAACAGAGCTTCTTGGTGTAATAACAGTTGGGTAAGGGTCCCGCTACCGGCTTATGCTGGCTGACCAGGAGGTAAAACAGCGTTAGCAGAACACTTTGACACTTTTCAATCATGCAGCACCACAGCCTCCAAGCACACAGCAAGTCAGTCGTCGCAGCCAAAGAATATCCCAAGGAATCCTAGGATTATTGTTCATTTTGAGAGCTCAAGATTTTGCAATTGTTTCAGGCAGATGCTTAGAGCAAACGGTGCTGCACAGCAGATCTTTTAGGGGTGAAGGTAGAAAGTGGAGCGATTGTTTGTACTAATCTATCCATTCACTATGAGTATTGCTCTCACAAGCCGTTCTTCATTCATAGCTTTTTGCGCTAGCTTTGCCGCCACAAGTGGTATCAGAGAGAGCTTTCCAGGGTCGTGCTTGACAATGACGTTGCAGTGTATAAATATAAGATATTCACTCACTGGTAGTTGCCGAGAAGACGTGCAAATGAGCGAGGACCAACAAGAGGGAGACAACCCGAGGATCATAACTTGTTACTGTACATAAATAGATGGCGGGTGTTTCACTAAAGAAGTGGAGTGACGCCCAGCTAATCTACAGTAACAATGCAGCCCCTACTCTGGAAGCCAATCCATGTACGAAAGGATCAAAAAGCATACCTTCCTTTTTATCAATTGTCCGTCCAGGTCTGACTTACAGCGGCGACGGCTACAACTCATGAAAACAACGTGCCTGAGTCGCACCGGCTAACAGAGTGCTTCTTGCAGATGGGTCTTGAGCAGTGTTGCATCCTGTTGCATCTAAGGGCTCAACCTGAGAATGTTCCGTGAGACTCCACAAGCCGCAGCCTGAATGTGTTGGATTGCAAAGTTATGTCTCGCCAAGTTGCTCTGGCTTGGGCAGGTGCTCATGGCAAACCTCGAAGTTCTTTGATGATTATCTTCGAATACCTTTTGAATTTGGCAGACTCCGAATTAATACTCTACACTTGGAGCCTGATGGCTCCAAAAGTAACAGTGGCCTGCCAAAAGTGGCTTGCTAGCATCACCTGCTGCACATGCTGCTATCCACGCGCGACTGTGGACGGCAATCCTTTTTCATTAGCCGAAAAGGGTTGAGCTGCTGAGCTGCTTGAGAAGTGCAGTTCAAATCCCAAACATGTTGCAGTGAATTGATCAGGACGTCAGAGACTTTGTGGCTGTGGCGGTGGGAGGAGCAGAGAGGTTCAAGACTCCAAGATGCAACAGCACAGTGATGGACCGAGAACACGCCCCCACCAGATCAGGCACATGAAGACCAATTGTCTGTAAACCCTCAAGACCTCTCATATATAGATCAGCTCTGAGATCAGCTTTAGGCTTTTTTTGAGCTGGACTTGATAGGTGTTGTTTTGCTTTCAGCATGCTTACTTGCATGATGCTCCCAGCCATGGGTGGGCCTCCTGCGGCGCCCCATGCACTGCACAAGACCTGCACTGGTGGAGCCGGTAGGATATGGCACTCGGCGGAGCTGCGTTTTGCATGTTGCTCGATGGCCATTGCAGGCCAGGTGGGCTAGGTAGGCAAAGAACGCACGAAAAGGGGCAGAGCGGCAGAGCGGTCCGCTCCCAAGGTATTTTGTTTACAAGAAGTTGGAAACGAGGGCTTTTGCTGGTTTTATGGAGACGTGGCAGCTTTGAAGGAGCTGGAGCTAGAGCTATCCAAGCTGCATACAGACGCCGCAGCCAAGGAAAGCGACAGGCCAGAGACCTTGCGTGGGAAGTTGAGGTCATCTTCAATAGAGACTTTTTTTTGCCTTTATAGGTTCGCGTCTGATCAATCCTGCGTGTTGCCTGATTGAATGCTGACAGTTTCCAAATTGTTCTATTTCCGACAGGTGCGGCATGCAGGCCGCATTGTGGTTCTGGACAACTTGCAAGCTGTGCAATTTCCAGCCGAAGAGGATGATTTGCTTAGCCTGGGGCCACCAACGCTTTGCTCGGCAGATACTGATGTTCAGCGCTTTAAGCTCTGTCGTGCAATCATGAAAGCTCGTGATCGTTTGGCAATGTTAGCAGTGGTAGCCTCCAATTTCAAAGAGACAGCCGTGATCACGGCAAGAATTTGCCTGATTATCGAAGAATTGCGCAGTGGTCGTCCATTTAGAACTAGAAGTGATTTGGACCTAGCAAGTGGCCGCCTTGTGATGATGGCTTTGCTTGGTTTGAGTACCTCGCCAAATAGATTTGGTTTGCTTCAGCACGATGCTGCTCATCATTTGGCGCTTTGTGGCGGCCCTGACGTAGCTCTGCAGACTCCTGTGACACCCGATGTTCCAATTTCTCCCATAGTTTCATGCTAGGACTCACGAATAGTTCTTTGAGTCCAGTTCTGCAGTTCGATTCTGGCAGATGTCTAAGCACCTAGGCAGATGTCATTGCACAGAATCTTGCATGACCTTTGCTTTTTGTTTTTTTGATCACCCATTAATTGCCAGCCGGGGGTTCAAAACTTCCCATGGTGCACCCTTGGTTTCCTGGCACGTGACACTCGAGATCGCCCAAAAGGGGCATTTAGTTCTTTGATGTTTGAACTCTTCGGTGGAGAATTTTGCTTTTGGCACTGACACGCGCCACTATAGTGTCGCCCATCTCCATTTAAGCACAGCAAACACTGGTTGAAGATATGAACAATTTGATTGCACTCATGGGGTGCGAAACGGCTGCCATCTCCGCCGAAGTAGATGTGGCATTCTTAACTGAGAAGCCGTCCTTCGTCCTATGTTTCCATCAGGTACTTGCCGCAGAGAGAAAGCACAAGCATGCCTGCAGCATGCCTGCATGCGCACGACACGACACCTTTCTGTCTCGTTGGCTTCCACATGAACAGACCTCAGGTTGAAAGGGAGATTGCTCTGATTCTGGCAACCTCCCCTGTTCTACGCAGGCAGGGAGGGGTAAAATTGGTAAAAGACGATTGGATGACAAGAAACGAGCCGCTGGACCAGGGCTGACTTTGACCCCATGGTGCGGCATCGTTCTCAGACCGATGCGATGCTTATAAAGGCTTTCAACCTTACAGACTCATGGCTGGGACTGTCACAAGCTTGTTTCAATCTATGTACATACATTTGTACCATCCCTTCATTCCATTCATCCATGCTCACGCCAGTTTCACCGGACCTAGCTCAAGAAGCAATGCCTTCTCCCTGGCCTGAGGCAGCACCTTCATGCGTTCCACAGCCTTGGCGGAGCTTCTCAGGTGGGTCTCTAAAGTCGAGATGGCAAGATGCAATTCTTGTTCCGTTCGTAGTATGAATGCTCCGTTCGTAGCGATGCCAGGAGCCCCGTTCGTAGCGTCCTTGCTCCTAGTAGTAAGGCCAGGAGCCCCTAGTAGCTTCTTGTTCCTAGTAGTAAGATAGTAAGATGCATATAGTCCGGCCTTGTCTTTTTGGCTGGCAAGATGCGATCATTTGTTCGAAGAGTAGTTGCCTGTTCGGGGTGATGTACAGGGAGCCAGCATGCAAAACCTGAAGCATTGGAACACAAGCCATGGCCAGGTGCATGAAGCACTGGAGCAGGTATGGGGCCTCCGCATAGCTGTAGGATGCATGATCTGAAGAAATATGTATGACTTGTGTGGGAGTCTATGTGCAAGATGCGTCAAGTAAATCTAGAGTTGCCATTGCCTTCACCCCGCTGCTTTTGGTCCAAGATTTAGGGTTTTAATCATGCCAATGAACATGGGCAGCTTCGCAGAAAGTACTGACTGTGCACTCAAACTTGCTTGTGGAAATGATTGAAGCTGCACGATGTAAAGCAAAGGGTCTGATGTAGCAGAGCCTCAACCTCATGAATTGATACAGCACAATCGGCAATCACCAATGCTAGCTTGTTGACATCAGAGCGCGCAATATGGCGGGATGATCGCCTACTTTGAGTTCCTTTGCTGCAGAATGTCTTTGCAATTGGTTGTGCCGAAGCTGTTTAACAGAAAAGATCTCACCTGTGAGTGCTTGCAAGCTCTTTGATGAGTTATGTAATTGATAATTGTGCATCGGTTTGCGAAGATTGATGCTAATTATGGATGTTTACCCTTCCCGAGGATTGAATGCCCTCACACTGCACCAGAAGATGCCGGGGACACGGGCAATTTGCACGTAGCACCCTGTGTCAGCTGCATTGGTGTGCTGCTGTGTTCAAACGCAATGTCAACCTTGTGCCGCTGAGGTTGTGCTCTTGGTTGGGTCACATGCTGTCATTGGAAACTGGGACATTCACAGAGCAGTTCGGCTGGAGACAAGTCGCAGCCCCAGGGGGCGCAGAAGGCGCATTTATATATATAATTGCAAACAATGTACTGTATGTACAATTTTCACAAGCAAGAGTCGAAGCTGATATTCATAACCTCAACTGGCAGCCAAACAGCTGTTTTCCGCAAGTGCACACATGTGCGCATGTTCTCTTTGGCAAGAGGGTGCAAGTTCACTAATATGTTGTTTAGCATGCGAGTGGTCGTTACCTCCTCTACGCACAGCCCTGCCTGATGTCCAATATAATATCCCGATCCCAAAGAGCATATATATATATATACGCATGTATATATATATAGATACACACGGTAACCAGATGTAACTGTATCATGCATTGGCACATGATGGGTCATGATCATGAGCAGAGTGGCCGCTTGGGAGGGTGCCGGTCGCAAAACTGGTGAAGACCGGCCTCAAGAACGCTTAATGTTGACAAGCCTGGCCAGGTCCGCAGAGATTTCCTTGGTGGTTCACGGCTGCTCCTCTCACAATTGATGCTGCAGAAGTGGAGTTCCAATTTGCAATCGTTGTTTCTTGGTTGCCATGGTGGCCTTGCCATGCCTCGCCCATATATAGTCCCTTTTATATCGCCTTTGAAAGGGCTCACCTGCTAAGGACTCAGACTTTTCGCGGCCAGTGCGCTGGGAGTCTGTTCCATTCCCGCGGCGTGTTAAAAGAGCACCCCAGCGTAAGGCCAGGGAAGGGAAACATGAGACACGTGAAAAACAAGAGAGGAGAGGAGATTTGGCAGCTAGACCACCACTTTGGCTCTATAAGCTCAATGGCAGCATGTCAGTTGAGAGAAGACGAAGGTTTGACAGTGGGTCGATGCTGACTCGTCATCCTGGCCGACTCGCCTGCACAGCAGGATGGACTGATCATGGAGGTGGTGTTTCGAGCCAGCTGGGACGATGCGAAGAGCACCGTGACTCTCCGCCCCTCAATGGTTGCCGTCTCCAGATTCAAAACATGCAGTGTTCTCTGTATCAACTTGAGCATTTCGCGAGTGGATCAACTTCTGCTTTTCTGTGCAGGACTCATTTTCGTCACGATTTCGTCACGACTTCATGATCCCTCTGAGGTCAGACCTCGAGCCGGATACCCCGTGCCTCCAGACGAAACCTCCCGGGCTCGAGCGCTTGGCCAAACGGAGCGATCCCGGTCCCGAGCTGAGCCGAGAGATGCTCAGACGCGACGTGAGGGAGGACAAGATGAGTGACTTGAATGAGCGGACAAGGTGTTTTATTATGTTTTGTTTCAGTCTTAAATCGATCTGTGGGTTGAATGCTGATTTTGGCTTTTGAAGGCGTTTTTCACGAAAGCTAGCGAAGCTAGCTGGAGTTACTCTTGCGATAGCAAGGTTTCTTTCGACCGGGTGCAAATCCTAACCCCTGATTTTTCAGGTCGAAGACCCCCCCCGTATCTTGCGGCCGCACTCGCTCACTCTCACTCTCACTGTCTCACTGTCTCACTGTCTCACTGTCTCACTGTCTCACTGTCTCTCTCTCTCTCATCTCTCTCATCTCTCTCATCTCTCTCATCTCTTTCTCATCTCTCTCATCTCTCTCTCCTCTCTCTCTCTCTCTCTCCTCTCTGTCTCTCGTCTTTCCGTCTCTCTTCTCTCTCTTCTCTCGCAGGAGGATCCGGGCAAAGAGCCACATATAAAGGACTCTTCACCCCTGCCTCCAAAAAGAGCGCCGTGTTTTTTCCTACCTCGCTGCCCTCCACTTTCCCATTCTGGAGCGCTAGCTTTCGCCCGCCCCCTTGGCCTCAAGTAAAGTTATGTTTTGAAAGACACTTCTTCCAAGGCTACTTGGATGGCAGATCGAAGATCCAACACTTGTGCAGATGGCGGGCACTGGCAAGCGGCAAGGCCCAGCAGGCCAGAGCATGGCAGGCCCTTACGATAGGAGGGGCGCATACAGTGGCCCAGCGCAGGCACTATCTGCATTGCAAACTGCCAGCACAGGAGGCAGCTCGAGCTCACGTGCCGTGGGACCTTGTGGAGCCGGAAAAGGGCAGGCCAATCCAAAAGGATTGGGCAAGAGTGAAAGCCCTTGGGCAGACCGACCAATGCAAACAGATCCTGTCATGGGAGGAAGCTCTCGGTTTGAGCAGGGTGGCGATGGCAGCTATGGTGGGAGGGGGGTGCTTCCCGACCAACAGTTGGAGGAACCCCCTCCTGCTGCACCCTTGGGTGCTTTCAGAGGAGGGGAGGTGGTCAGAGGTGGGCACGCGCAGAGTGAGGTCCAGCAACAACGAGCACCAATTGCTGAGAGCCAGGCAACCTTCTCATCAGCAAGCACTGCTGCTACGACCTCACAGATACACAGGTCTTCCTTGCCAGATGGCACGGCGTCCCAACAAGCCACCCTCAGCTCCAGCACGTCCCCACCAAGGAAGAGGGAGAGTTCCTTAGATGCCATCAGGGGAGCTGTGAGGCGTGTCTTGGGGTTCAGTGATGGAGGCACAGAAGAACATGACGGTCATGACGGTGGTGATCTTGATCTAGCGCCTGCCATTGGAACTAGGCCGAATGATCCAAGCAGTGTCACAAATCCTGAGGGCCATTCTGGTCCTAGTGCTGCTACTACGGACGATGTGCAGATGGCAAAAGGCCCGACCACTTCTCAGGCCAGACCTTCCCCGATGGATATCAGGGAATTTGGTGAGACGGGCACTAACAAGCGGCAAGGCCTAGCAGGCCAGAGCATGGCAGGCCCTTATGATAGGAGGGGCGCATACAGTGGCCCAGCGCAGGCACTATCTGCATT